GGAATCTGTGAGCCAGACCACTGAGAGCAGCAAGAGAGAAAGAAACTGGGTAAAACTATGAACTGTAATTTAACCAAGCCTAAACCTGCCCAAAGCCTACATTTTCATCACTCTTGTTAACACCAGAGATGAATAATGATGTGTTACATCACGATGGAAAAGTCAGATAAGTTCATTTTTTACAGCTATCTTAGAAACTAAGTTAATCACAGCTCAAAGTTTTAACAGTGTAACATGCACATAAGCCACCAAACTATGAAAACCATGTAACTGCAAAGCAAGGGAAAAAGCCTAAAGAACTGGAAATAAAGTTTAAAGATAGTTACAAACTGCTTAGTACAGGTAACCCCCATGCAATATTTGCTATTATGTCATCTTTATCTGCACACATTGCAAGTCTCTAAGCAACAGCAGCAAACTAAGGTGCCATTTGCAAGAGTCTAACTTCCTTTAGCTCAAATTACCCTAAGCACTGTATATATTTGAAAAAAAAAACAACAGAAAGAGTGAAAAGGGAAGAACATCTTTCCCTTTTCCTAGTGCTAAATCAAGAGAAATCTCCTCGCTGACCTGTGATACCCCCCAGTACAGCACAGCACATAACGGCACGGCACGGCTCAGCCCAGTACAGCCCAGCACAGTCCAGTCCAGCCCAGCCCGGCCCAGTACTGCCCAGCCCGGCCCAGCCCAGCCCAGTACATCCCAGCATGGCCCAGCCCAGCACAGCCCAGCCCAGCCGCCCGTGGTCCTTACACACAGCTCCCCGTGCACTGTGATACCCCCCAGTACAGCACAGCACATAACGGCACGGCACGGCTCAGCCCAGTACAGCCCAGCACAGTCCAGTCCAGCCCAGCCCGGCCCAGTACTGCCCAGCCCGGCCCAGCCCAGCCCAGTACATCCCAGCATGGCCCAGCCCAGCACAGCCCAGCCCAGCCGCCCGTGGTCCTTACACACAGCTCCCCGTGCATTGCACCCAGCCCAGCCCAGCCCAGCCCAGCTGCCCGTGGTCCTTACACACAGCTCCCTGTGCGTGTCCTTGCAGCCCAGAACAGCACCCTGTGTCCCTAAGTCACTGGTTTTAAACCTACAGATTTCTTTCAAAACTTTTCTAACACGTGAACTTCACTTCCTGCTGTTTCAAAGATGTTCCTCAAATGAGTGTTTTCCACTGTGGATCTATAAACTCCTATTCAACGAGAACAGGAATTTCCCCCATTTGTAGAAATATTATTCAATCAAGCAAAAGCTCAAGGAAAAGAAATGACCAGTGAACAAGAACAATGTGGCATATTTGAATATCTGCAAGGACTATTAAAAAAATTAGGACAGTTTAAGGATAAAGGAGTTGAAAACAAGTCCAAATGATTGTGTGGTGCATAAATTAGGCTCAGCAAAGCTTGGGCCTTGTGGAATACTGATGTAACAGTGATAAGATCGTGGAAGTACAAGTTTCAGAGGAGACAACAGAACCACACACTGCCATAAATGGCTCTGGTCACAGAAAAGTAAGGCCCCGGTGTCTGAGTAAAGAAAATTACCTTTAAAAGTTCTTTCCTACTATTTGAAATCCAAGCCCTGTTCAGGGAAGACTGTGGAATTTGGATCAGCACTGCAATATGTGCACTTAATGCCCAATTAACAAAATCCACCACTTTGATACAAGGCTTCAGCCTCACCTCCAAACATGCAATACACAGCATCCCACCAGTTAAGAGAAAAGAAAGTTTCCAAGCAGAAAAGCTGAAAATCTGCACAGAAACAGCTCATGAGAAGCTAAGAGCACGTTCTGAAGTGTCTGAAATGTGCCCTAGGCGCTGTGTCCTGCAGCAGAGCTGTCCCCAGAACAAACCCTGAGCCCTGGGACAGGTTGGCTAACGGCACACGAGCTCTGCACGCTCTGGCAGGGGGTACAGTGCCTCGAGAGAGAAAACTCTGGAACCACAAACAGGCAACAAAAGCACTGTGAGAATGGGAAGACAACCACAGTTCAAACAGCTCTGCTCAGGCACAGGGAAAGCAGTTTCAGGGAACTGACAGTGTAGATGGGACTAGACCGGTACCTTTTCAGCTTCTCATCTGTCAGAGGTGTTAGCTCCAGGCACACTCCAGAAATCACATCTCCTGCATTTCCCTGGAAAACAGGGCACCTGTGACAAATTCAAGTTAACACCATCCACTTCTCTCATATCAAACACCGTATCTTCTGTCATATCTTCATCCATGTCAGACAGATTAGATCTGAGTTTAACATTTCAGTTTGCTTCTCAGAGAGTAACTGAACATTAGTTTTGGAAAAAAACCACAAGAGTTCAGTATAGTCACCTTAACGTCTGGAAGGGGAAAATAATCTCATCACATAACACCTGAGACTGATGCAAGAACAGAAAAAATGATTTCTCACAAATGTCAATATGTGATGCAATAAAATATTTTTTTCTATTACATTTCAGAGCTAACCAAATTCAGGACTTCCACTCAAAATACACTCTTAATGCACTACAGTCACCAACAAAGCAACACAAAATCTTTCAACTTTTTCAACTCTACAATCATATTTGAAAACAAGACTCTTTTAAACACAATGCCTTG